CATTTACAGCCTATAAAACCAAATAATATGGATCTCTGTGTTATCCCTATTTTGAGGAGGGGAAAAGTAAGTTTAGAGAAGCTAAATTACATCTCCAGTTTGAGAAAAACAAAATTTGAACCTCAGGTTTTTGAATGTCAAAATTCTTGCAAGAGAGTTATAGGAAACATCTCATTCTCTAATGATATAGCCTATCAACAATATTCTAATACTATTTTTTGTATTCTGTTGGTATCTGTAGTTATAAATACTATTGTTTAGAAAATCTGCATTACCTATGATAAAAAAAATCTACTAAGGCATTCATATTCCCAATATTTTAGTACATGCAAAGATAAAACATTTTTTCTGCTTCTTTTCCCTTTTCTTCCTCCTGTTTCTTCTGTTTCACATACTAACTTCTCCATCATAAAAAAGAAAATCAGAAAAAAAAATGTGCAGACTCACTGACACATCATTTGTATCCATATTTTGATACTTTGTCCAGTCTTTTAAAATTTTATTATGATACTATTACAAAAGTGATTTTGTCCCTCACTAAAGTTTCATTTTACCTTCTTCCTTTACAATTTATTCCTTCCTATTTCCCCAAAGCTAAGAATACAGGACCATACATACTCTCAGTAGAGTTCCCTCTTTAGGTTGAGATTCTACTGAAGAGTAGACTCTTTTCTTTAAATGGCTGATTCATTTTCTTCCTTTGATGTAACATATATTATGAACTTATATCTGAAATTTTAAAAGAAAAGGAATCCTAAATGGAGAGGCCATTGTTAGTCATTTTAAAGTGCTATGAACTGAATTGTGGCCCCCCTCAAATTTGTACATTGAAGCCCTAACCTTCAGTGTGACTGTATTTGAAGACAGGGCCTTTAGGGCGGTTAAGTAAATTTAAATGAGGTGATAAGGGTGGAACTTTAATCTGCTAGAGCTGGTGTCCTTGTTAGAGTCAGAAGAAACATCAGAGCTCATTACTCTCTCCCTCCAAGAACCACAGAGGAAAGGCCACAATCAGAAGGTGACAACTACAGGCCAGGAAAGGGAGGCCTCACCAAAAATCAACCCTGACTGCACCTTAATCATGAACTTCTATCTTCCAGACTGTGAGAAAATACATTTCTGTTGTTTAAGCCACTCAGTCTGTGGTATTCTGTTATGGCAGCCAAGCAGACTAATACAGGAAATCATTGTATTTACACTAAGTATCTCTCACAAACATAGTCTTTCGTTAAAGCTGTGACTCTTGGTGTATAAAAAGGTTAGACCTAGAGTCTAATAAATGGTGCTACTGTTTGTCTAGATGATGTGGAGCTTGCCTAAAGGAAAGAAGTTCAAATATCCACATGGCTAAGAAAGATGCATGAAGTTAGTACTTAGGTATGATGATAGCAAAGTTTCTACTGCCGTTTCCATTTGCCCTTAAACTGGCTATCTATGACAATGGACATACTATTTTACAAGAGGAGGTGTTTATGTCCATACTATTCTTATTACAGACAATTATTTCTATGAAATTCCTATAACTGAAACATTATTTTTCATAACACTTAGATAATTTAAATACCTCTAAACGTAGAAGAGAACTACCATGAATAGATCACAGCATACAAAAAGTTTTATATTAAGTCTCACAGCAATTGCTGAACATTTACATTAACAACTTCCCTATAGGTTATATAAAGTAATAAGAACAGATAATAATTGTCTAACAAAGGGAACAGAGATGTTTCCTAACCTCTATCTTTTTCTGTGGTAAAATTTATTAAGACAGATTGGAGGGGAAAAAAGAGAGAAAGAAAGAAAGAAAGGAGAGCAGGAGGAAAAGAAGGAGTATAGGTTTCCATATTTCTATAGCCAGTAATACTTTTCAGTGACTTGGTTCCTAGATGTAATGCACATTTATGGAAAGCATCCTAACTGGATAATTTTATAAATGCTAAATTTCAGCAGACTGAATCAAAGGGCCTATATAATTAAGTAAAATTAGCCCCACCTGCCCCATTTCTTTATAGAATTCATCATAACCTCTCAAGCAGGTACAAAGTTTGTATTTCATCCTAATATAAATAACATAATTCTTATTTGCCTTTGAAATCATGAGTCATCAACATATAACTGCTTGAAATATATTAAAATAAATTAATTTTTTAAAATCATAATTTGTAGGTGCCCTCATGTTAGAAATACACATAATCTGAGAAATTTCAAATAGTTTAGTTACCATAATTATGATAATTTAAAATATACCTGTATTTTTAAATTTTCTAAATTTACAAATTTTAATAGGTTTATTTTAATAAACTATGAAAAATACAACTATATTAAGAATTTACAAATTAAGAGCTAATATTCATTTTCTTCCAAATGGGAGTAGAAAAACAATCAAAACAACTTTTAGACCCTGCTACAAAATTATGCCAATTGGTCAGGGAGTGTGCATGACAATAAATAAATAAAAATAATATTTTATGTTTTATAAAATTCTGTGAATTGTTCCTGTTAAGGTCTAAGATCATTAGATTAGTATGATAAATAATGACATTTATGTAACAGAAGATATTTCATAGCATGGCAAGTAATCAACAGGGGCCAACAAATGATTGGACACTCCATGACAGATATACAGTTATAAGCTCTACTATGATGTCAATTAAGAGTAAGAAAGTTAAGAAAACATATTATTGGTAAATCTATAGATGACGCTGACTTTTAAAATGACACCTAGACATTGCTTTTTTAAGCAGTTCTAGGAAACTGATTTTTATTAACAAAAATTCCTATTCACAAAATGTAATGGGGTCATGGAAAACATGACTGATAACAAAGACATTTGTTTTCCAAAGCAATTATTTACACTTGTTTAAACATGCATTGTATGTCTGCTTTAACCACTAAAGAATGAATTTAAAAATCAAAATGGAGTAACTGTGGTTCAGGCATCCAGGATGGAGCCAGGTGGCCATTGTGGATGTGGTTTCAGACACATTCCTGCATCACTGGGAACCTGAATTTTATGAACTGTAACAGACTCAAGCACACCATCAATTGTTCTCAAAATGACATCTGCAAGCAGCAGCCAGCTGCAACCTTATGGTCTCAAGGTCTTCCCTTGTAACTGTGCAACCATTTCAGACCCCAACCAATACTTGCTTAACAAGCACCCTTACTTCTTGCCAGCTCCAATTCTAATTCTTGACAAACAACTTACATAATTTTGCCTTTATAAGCATCCCCCATTTTGCAGCCTGGTGGAACACAATTCAGGTGCTTCCTGAATCTGTATCTTCCAGGCTATAGTCCTCATTTTGGCTCAAATAAAACTCTTTTATAGTCCTATTATAGATTGTTTATGGATTATCTCCACTGACACACTGCAATGCCTTTACCCATCCCATAGGACCTACACTTCCACTTAATTTTTAATTTTTCTCTCTGAATCATGTGTATTCTAAAAATACATTAAAGAAACTAAGAAAAACAAAGTCAGTTATAATAATTCGCAAAATAGTTAATGCCATGAAGAATAATGTAATCACACCAGGTTCTTATATTAATATCTGATTTTTATTTCTCAATATCCTATTTGTTCTTTCAAGTGAAATGAAATTATTAACTTTTATAAGTCTTAGGGCCAACAAGATTTTATAATTCTATTTTTTCCTGCAACACAGTTTTCATCAAGTCCTTCTCATCTTTCTTGATAAAGTTTCTTTTTGTCTGCCACATTCTTCTTTTAATTTCCTCTAATGACTTTTATCCAGTGCTTAATAGAGGATTTCTCTAGTTTAAGGCAATTTACATCTTAGCCAAGAGCCCTATGCCTATCATTGCTGACCCATAATAGGAACACAATAAGTTTCTGATGAATAAATGCATGAATAAATGAATGAATAAATAAAAGAATGACCTCTCCAAATTTGAACAACTCACTGGAACACATGTTGATGAATCAACGTATGAGCACACAAGTTTTCATCTTTGTAGAAAGTCCTAGGTTTAATCTTTCCACCAAATGAGCTGAATGGGGTTGCTAACTACTAGCTCATTGTCAGAGGAATGAATAAAGTATGTTCTACATGCTTTATATACATCAACTCATTAATTCCTTCCTATAAGTTTATGAGTTTATGAGGAAACTGAGGCAAAGAAGAGTGAAGTGACTTGCTCAACAAGATCCAAGAGCTAATAAGTGACAGAACTGGGACCCAAACCAAGGAACACCAAAGCCCACACTTTTCAAGGTTTTTGTTAATGGGAAAAGTACCTTTAAAACTCTATATTTTAATATAGTGATTTACAGTAAAAATTCATATTAATTGCCAATGAAAATTTCTCAAAACCTGTTCAAATTCTAATTTTTAAGTGTTTCTTTATATACAACCTTACAAAAGATAGTTCATTCACATGCTCTCTTTGCTCTTTCATTTAGACATTTCTTCTTAATATGTTTGCAATTAATCTGAGGTCTATATTTCTAAACACAGGCTAACATAAGTTGCAGTCTTGCTAATGTTTTGACATTTTCTACAAAAATACTTTCTACCTGATGTTTTTTCTACAAAAAACATCTCTACCTGAAATTACCAATTAGCTTTCTTGACATGAAACAGAGTAAGAAAAAGGTTCTTTTACTCAGTTTTGGAATCACAAAACACTTTTAGCAATTTAGAGCACAAATTTTCATATGAAAAATCTAATACTTCTCAGCAATTCCTTTGAACAGAATGTAGGCTGGCTTGTGACATTTATGAATACATTATTTAAGGAACTATAATTTTGCTTGCTGTATAAACAAACATATTACATGGGAGCATATTGCAATTAAATTTTACAGTGTCCACTTAAAAGTTTTTTAGATACTACAGAATTTTCTGGAAAGAAAAGATGCCTTGTTTCTTACATATACTATAGAAATCATTTGGTGTATAAAAAAGTTAAAGAGACTTTTTAAACTTTTGTTGTGGATAACAGACATAAAACATTCAGAGGTAGTTACGTACCTGTTTTATTGGAAAGTCTAAATGACACCATCTTATCAGGAATATTACATACATTCCTCACTGAAGCAATGCAGCTATAATTAGCATAGTCCTGAGGTCGAAGATTTTTTAGTTTTAATATCTTTGTTTCACCCTGAAAATGTAGAAAAAGTCATTAGAAAAAGTCAATGGTAACCAAAATTAATAAATGGATGAATCATGGCATTGTATTTAAAATTATATTATCAAAATATGGCAGATTGTCATTTTTTAAGGAAAATGCCCTAAATTAAAACAAACAAAAAAAACTATTGCATTTAAAATTCAAACTGTAATGTGCTTGGAGATAAAAAGTAACTGACTACAATGAAAATTCATAGCTTTTTTTTTTTTTTTTTTTTTTGCAAACTAGCTTCCTAAGGAGGGAAATCTATTTCTGGTGGTAGTTATGCAAATTATTATGCAAAGATCAGAACAGTGTACTTAATAATGGAGTGTATTCAACAAACACTGTAACCTATGCAGACTTCAACATGAAATGTTATGAAAGAAAAGGATTCTGAAGAGTCAATAAATGAAACACTGTTGGTAAAACAAAGTTAATGAGGTCAATCTAATGATAGATAATTAAATGTATATACATAAATATTTTGTGTATATGGAGCAATGACAGATGATAAATCTTAAACTGCATTTAGAAAGTATTCATGAGTGTTTCTATATTATTATTATTATTCGTGTTACTTTATGTTCAGGAATTCAAGGTTTAAGTCTCCTGGTTAAATCTGCAAAATTGCAGATAGACTCAAATCAGGCAAGTGGTCAAAAATCTCTTACACACTCTTGATGAGCCAAAAAAGACCATGCAATAACACTGAAATTGTTCAAAAGATAAAAAGAACAAACAACAACAATAAGAAGAGGAAAAAACCTGCCCAATTCAAATAAGGTCTCCTGGGATTTCTTTACCATCTAAAGTTATTAATGCATCTCTCAAAATAGTTCCTTTCACAAGTAACTTAATTATGGAGATGGTAAAAAGTCTCCCAATGACATCATATTGGGTAGAGCTATTTTTAAAATGTTAATTTTTTCCAGATAACATCTGTACAGAACCATGTGTTTCTTTTATTTTACTTAAGTAACATCATTCAAGTCCTAAAAATTGCAATACTTTGATACGCTATTCAGAAGAATCAGAATATTTAGTGATTTAATACATAAAGACATTGCCTGTTCAGTTGCAGAAAAAAAGCTTGCCCACACATATGCAGGCACACAGAGTTTTCCAAATGTCAAATGAGTCTCTCCTTCAGTGTGCATGGGTATTTGGCCATAATTCCTTTCATTCATTGTCAAAATGCAGTCTTAAAACAGTCACACCTTTAGCATTTTCCTCAGTGGGATAAATAATAATCTTCTACCTTTCAATTTTTCTTTAGGAAAGACATTGCCTTTTTTATGTATAAACAGACGCAAATACACCCCACAGGACTATACACAGAGTCAGAGTGTATGGTTCTAGAATTTATATTGGGTTGGCCAAAATGTTCGTTCGAGTTTTTCCATAACATCTTATGGAAAAATCTGAACGAACTTTTTGGCCAACCCCAAATTTTAAAACATGCTCTCAAAGTATTACAGAGTTCTCATTTATATTAACTATATACAATGCATATAAAAGTGTGCTTAGTTACAAAGCATAGTTGAAAGAATGTTATACTAGAACCTGATGACTCAGATAATTTTTTGAATGAGACAATACATCTTACTCCTCCTACCTCTGTGACTCCTCCTACCTGTGACTGTTGTTGCTTAGATTTCTTCACTTTTCTTTCTCCTCTCAACACTTAATTAACTGTTGGTATTCTCTGGAATTCTATTTGTTATACAGTTAATCACACTTTATAAAATTCCCTTAAATGATTTTATCCTTGCTGATGAATTTATACTACAAGCCTGATGAATTTATTCCTGGCCCCCCTCAAGACTTTATCCCTATTCCAAAACTCTCCCTCAAGTTTTAGACGTATATGCCAATTTTTTACCTCAATATGTCCATTCTGATGTCTCATAGGTACCTAAAATTCAACATATGCAAAAATGGACTTCAAGTCTATTCCTCTAAATCTACGCTTTCTTCTTTAGTAACAGGAATATTTGTTGGTTGACAGGATATACTTAAAATTGGTCTTCCCACTCATAATATTCTACAAGAAGTAATCTAGTTATAATATATAATCATAATGACTTTTAAAAATAAAAGGTACAAAAATATAAAATCTATAAAAATTAGACTTCATTTTTCCCACTATGCATTCTGTCCTTTGTGTATGATGCTATATTTCTTGTATCATTCTTATTACTTTGTCATTTCTCTGCCCTTTCTATAGTACTTGCCACATTAATAATCAATTGGAAACTGTCTGATGCTTTCTCTGTAATTTTTCTACAATTAAATATTTTTACTTGTACTACTAGAATACACCGTCAACTCTCTTGCTTCTCCCTATTCTTTGTAAAAAAATAAAAATTGTATCACAGAAAGTCAATCCTTTCAAATGTTATGCCACACTTCCTGTCTATCAAATTTTACGAGATAGGCAGTTTCGTCTTTTTTTTTTTTTTTAATTTTTTTTTTTTTTTTTTTGGTT